CTCGAAATATTTAACGATTTCTATTTCAGTACCTGCATAGAATGAATGATTCAGAAATAGAGAAACATGGGACTCAGCGGAATTTTATCTAATGTTTCAAGTGTGCCAACCCTGTGAAACTGTACACCACGTTTCCCACGATCATCACGCGCTTTGTCACCTCGACTTTCGGGAGGGCACGTGGGGAGGTGCTGCGTCGTCAAAAAAGTGATGCAATCAGAACATCGTTTGGAAGTTGCGTCCCCCACTTGAATGGCCGACGTTTCACTCAACCCGGAGTCGGTTTCGGAAGGCTGAGAGATGGGGCGCGAAGGGAGAGCGAGGGGAGCTCAGAGATAGATAAAGGGTGATTATTTTGTGTTTCTGGCCCCGGCAACTGACATGGTTATTAATCCCGTTAGTTTAGTACATGCTTTATCAGGGGCTGTGGTATTATGTCGGATGGAAAGATCCGGCGCCGACCTACACGTCAGTTTGCTGTGTTTTCCCCAACCAGACATCTACTGCAAGCGGGGAATCACTCAAGTCGAGACAAGAACTAATCTCCCACCCGTTCTCCTGACATGTGTCGTTGTAGTAGTAGTGTGTAGTGCATGTAAGTGTGTGTAAGTAACAGGTGAGGATACGCAGGATAAGGAAGGCGAAAGAAAAATTGCGCTCGGTCTGTGGTTCGTTTCCTGCTCTGGTATTCGACTGGAGTTGATCTGACAAACAACGGAAAAATACCTATCAGAGCAGAATTAAATGGTAAATGATCCTTACACACCTGTTAAATATATTTTTAACGTGTGCACATGCTGCAATTTCTGAGTAAACATATTGAAAACGAGATCTATCTCCGAATAGGCTGAGAATTTGTGAAAATGTTTTCCATTACTTGTATTACGAACGGTGGCGACATTGTCAAGTGTTCGGCTATTCACGGATTCAATTTGTAGCTTAAGACCCAATTATTGGTATTCCTCTAAATACAACTTAAAAAATAAATGGTGATAGTCTTCTAAAAATTTTCGGTAAACAAAATTGGTACTTGTCCCTCTCACGATAGGTTCCTAAAAACTAAAATTTTAAAATTACTGTTACGGTCAACTAAATCATGTTTCTTGTCTGGAATACGAACGGAATAACTGTGAGGCAAATATCGTACAGAAGTTGTTACATGAAGATAGAATGCTACTGATGTTAATACAGTGTTGTGACGTGTAACCTATACAAATTGAAAAATCGAAATAAATTTTAAAGTGCGTGGAATGAAAATTATTGTAATACTCGTCCGTTTAAACTGTCACATACCTAGGTGTCTGTGCACGTCTACTATAGAGAGAATGTGGATCAGAAAGTTGATAAATCTTAGTTTTTCTTGATCACAAGCATATTCCATACCGCTGGTTCAAAATATTTTGGAGACAATTTCATCGAACTTATTCCGCCAAGGTCTTTCATACTTTCCCGTCACTGTTTATTGTGTGTGGATTGTTTATGTGTAGTACTACTTCCCCCCTCCTACAAATATACATCTCAAGATGACACATCCTGAGATATCGGGTAAGGATAAAGAGGGAGAACCCCGAGAAAACTTCCCAGAAACCCGCTTTATGCACCTTAAATTCCACACAGATCGGGATTTGCACTCAGGACCTAGCGTCGGAAGGGAAGAGATCATCCAGTTACACCGCGGGTCACTTCAGACAAAATATAGTAAGAAAACACTCGTTTCAATGTGAATCGGATATCGCTACAATGCCATCAAAAGACAGAAGCTAACTACATATTGTATTATCAGCACGACCTTATCCCTTTCAGTTCCTTGTTGACTAGGTTGGGGCAAGACGGAGTGTTGACAATATGTATTGAGAGAGAACTGGAGCGTTTCTTCGTCGAAGACAAACAGAATGTTACATGGGAATAAACTACTGGTGAAGCATGGGAAGGTCAAGGGGCCAGGTCGGGCGCATGACCATTAGAGAAAACGACGGAATGGAAGGAAAAGCCATGGACTTCCATACATCTCTAATCGCACAATGCGCATGAGTTACTGTTGTAACATCTAGAGAGGGATTTCTTAATGTTTTCTCTTCACTATGGTTAATAAAAATAAACACAGTGGGTACTACAAGACCACATACTTTCACACATTAATTGTAACTTTTGCAATTTAAAAATGATCAGAGAGTCAATGAAATAAGACGTACGCTATTTTTAATCTCTATCTAAGGGGGAAAAAGAAGACAAACATTTGAAGCCGGTTTTTGAGAATGTTTTCAGTAGGCTTCAAACAAAAATTTCACGAAATTTCGTTTTTTCAAAAAAATGTACTTGAAATTATTTAAATTTTAAAAGTTTTGCAATTTTCGAAAATTCAGAAAGTTGAACAAAAATAAATCTGCTCTATATTTAAGAAAACTTTGCTCTAACATAGAGAACATTTAATGGAAAAAAATTGAAGCCACGTTTGGGAAACCTTTGAAAATACTGTGTCGTCTTCAAGTAAATTACCCCTAAAAATCAAAATATTCGTTTCAAATTAGCAGAGTCTCAATTTTCTGCAAAACCAATAGGGAAATATTTTTGAAAAAAAAGTGTGAACTGTTTAGGTGCTAATATTGACCACGCGCTACGACAGACGGACAGACATTTTACCGTAAACCAATTGTTTGCTATCAAAGACATACGAAACATGGATTATAACTGTTCAGCTTGATGGAAGAATTAATTTACTACATATAAGAACTAGTGTTATCCCTTTTTTCTCTATCAGGACCCCACAATACAAGTTTTTCTAAAAAAATTTCGCCACTTTTCCCTGCAGCATTACAATATTTCCTTATTACAATGTAAGTACAGGTATGTCCAAAATGTGGGAATGAAAGATTATGTTCACCCTAGGTAGAAAAAAATAGCGAGAATATTTTGAATTCCTACTACAAATGCAATTAGTGAAAGAAATTTAATTGCATTTGGTAATGTTATAACAAAACATGATATAAAACTTTCACTGATTAGTTTGGAATTATTTTCAAGTACATAATGAAGTTCGGTAGATCTCAATGTTTATGCATTACACTTACGTATAGACACCAAATGTGTTTATCTCTATCTCACACTCGGACACTCTGCTTGTAAGGCATGTGATGAATATATTAACTTCTGTTATCTTGTTAATTTTATTGCAATGATTTGTTTGGCCTTATAAAACTCAGTATTTTTTGTAATAATTTATTTCTTGTTGACGTTTCGATCCTATTTGGGATCTTTTTCAAAAATATATTGTCCAGATTTGTTGGCACCACATCGTACACAAACAGTATTTTTGCTAAAAAAAAAATGTCAGTGGTATAAAAAAACCTGATCAAGTCATAAACAACATCTGGTCCAAATTATGTTTACAAATTGATTAGGTTTTTTATAACATTGACATTTTTTAAAATCAAAATGCTGTTTTATGATGTGGTGACAACAAATTTGAACAATACATTTTTGAAAAAGACCTCAAACCGGTTAGAAAAACGTCAAAACAAAATAAATTGTTATAAAAAATATAGTCTAAACTTGGTAAGTTTTGATGAAATGTGTGGCAAACTTTGCGTTGCCTGATCTTCATATCAGAATGGAATGTCACGCGGGTTGCATTCCGAAGTCTGTTCTCTAGAAGTATGCCATCACATTGCGTCCGAATTTGACATATTCACGTAGATCAAAATAATTAATATTAGAGTAAATTTATCCGAAATATTTGACAAATATATTACAATCTATTGCGTAAATTATTTTGAAAAGAAAAAATATCTGAGTCTTAGAAAACTAGCCCGTTTGAAGGAAAAGGAGAAATTTAAATTATACTATGATGTCGAAAGTACATATGGGGCTTTGGATTCTTTTTTATGCATGTAGCATCATTGTCATCTCATTTCACGAAATGGTATTTAATGTCACAAAATTTGCAACGCCGCTATTCTTCTAAATATATTTTAGGACTATATTGTTGGCCCAAAATATCGCATGAAACAAAAAATCAGTAAATCGAGTATTATAATCAACAGAAACAATCCATTCGTTTTCGTAGAGCAACAGTTTGCATTTTGACTGAAAAAGGAAATATTATTGTTATTTCGCCTAATCCTATACTGCGCCTACCAATTGAATTCTCATATTATGTGCGTCACTGCTTACACATAATTGGCATGCGGCAGAAAGGCTCCTCTCACCCGCCAAAAATATTTGCTATTAACGTATTACATTAACGAACATCATTTTTTAATATTGTTGGCATGTATAGAAGTGTTGTTCAGTACGTATTACAGTAGTTGTTGTACATGTACTTGTTGCACGGTATGTAGTTGTGGCACTTGTGGCATGTACTTGTTGTACATGTACATGTACTGCAGTACATGTTCCTGAACTGTTTCAATATTGCTGAAATGCAAATTTTTACGCAGAAAGTCTTTTTTTTAAATCACCGCTTAACTGCTTATTGCGGCTCATCCAATATAACATTAGACAAAATACGCTAAAATATGCTTAAAATTGACTAAATAGCTTATTAAATAGATGATATATAATCGGTGTGTGTGTGTGTGTGTGTGTGTGTGTGTGCGTGCGTGCATGTGTATGCATATCACATTCGTGGCAATACAGGAACGAGTCCGAGTGTATTGGGGATAATGATAGCTGCATTTCGTTCATTGCTCAGTTTCCTAAGATCGATCCGATTTCTTTGCGGAGTTCCATTTTGAATTGATCAAAGAATGTAAGAGTTTATGTTTTAGAGATAATATCCTAATTTTGCACATGCCTAGAATTTCGGAATGAATACTTTCAACCAATTTTTGCAAAAACCGTAACTCTTTCTTTTTCGACCGCGCAGCAGGAACTCGGAATTCGTGGAGTAGGCATCACGTGACGGGTAGGGGGTGGGGGGCCTGACGGCTTCTGACCACGGGGTAGCGAGGCCCCAAGGCAAGAGACAGCATTGCATTGCGACGCAGTGCTAAGCCGGCGCGCCTTCCACTCGGACGCAACCTGGACCTGAGGAGCTGAGGGTGCGGGACGCTCGGCCGGCGATAAGACCGCAGCTGGGCACGGACGCTCCGACGTACTGACCGTGTGACTCATCTGCCCCTTTCGCGCCCCAACAACCCAGCGGGAGCGTGCGTCGCAGGTAAGCAACTATCCTCATGTAATTTGTTGAGAAATGTGTGTTATTTTCAGCTGACAACAGTGTAGTGGTTCATATGGAAATGTCTGGCACGAAACATTGGGGGAGGACAACAAAGCAAGTGATTACAAATACCGCTGCAGATTTTAGTTCATGCTACGAATTGTTGTTTTAAATCATTTATTGTCGTCAAAATGGTGCAATCTATTCGCTGAAAAGGTCTAGCGTTGTCGCAGCTGTTCATACATTCAGTAATAAATAATTTGACAAACTTGAAACATGAAGGCAGCCACGAATTCATCGGCGCGTGGTAGCCCTATATCTCCCGCCACTTCTTCCTGAAATCCGTTTCTCTCGCATTTTCAATTTTGGGCTAAAACTTATAACTAGGGGCGGAATTTATTGTATTTCCATTTTTATTTTCACTTTAAAACAATGCCTTTTAGTATACACTAATTTTATGTTACGACTGGAGGAAATGACCCATTAGTATTTTGTATTTTTTTCGCAATTCTCTTCAATTTGGACCACAGTAGTTTATTACCTTTTTCCCGTCATTTTTAAAGCATATTTCACATATTTCACTGATTTTTATATAATTTTAATGGCACTTGATTCAATTAATATTTACGAGATGCAACAAATGTTGTCCACAGAATTCCTTAATATACTTCGGTTTTTCTATAGTGGCCGATGACATTAGGTCATTGTTACACTTTCTGCCTTATAATATGAATATTTTTAATTAATTCGCGAACGACCTTCTCAACGAGACTCGTGGCCTCACAAGTTTTCTTACCACTTTTCCAAAGATTTTATAAGACAGGTGTAACAATTACCTAATATCATCGGCCAGTAAAGAAAAAATCGAATTGTAGCCTTTTCGATTTCTTCGCGTAGAAATTGTGATGTCAGCCGTTGTGAGTATGTAACCTCAGGCTCCTGTACCGCTTAGTTGCACCATTGTTAGTTCGGCCGATTTCGCGATAACTAAAGACAGATTTCCTGGTAAGAAACAGTTCAATCTAGAAATTTTGAAGCTTAGTACACTTGGACGAGAGGAAGAAACCTCAATTCCATCAGTAACATATCCAGGAGCTTGAATTGTTCTTCTGAACTGGTTTTGATAGATTTTTTACGTCATATCTCTTTACTTTTGGGACATTATTAAAACATCTTAAGAGCACTGTATTGTTCATTTTTGGAGATGTTTCTTTTTAAGTCAACAAAATCCACCTTCTAGTGATAACAAATTGATTTCTGTAACTCATGCGTTCGGCTCGATGTCTGAATTGTAGATGAATTATTGTAAGGAGGGGTCACTTTGACGGGTCGGGAAACCAATAAAATTCACGCAGGGCGATGTTATGCCAAAGATACTGATTTACAAATGCGCTAAATGTAAACGAACGCTCCGACAAAATGGGTGCATGGACACAACCTGCATTTATGTTGCTAGCAGTTTTCAAGCTGTAACTGTCAAAGCAGTCCCTTCTTATAATAATCTCTCTTCATATAAGGAGTAAATGCCATCGTTAGCGAGAGGGTACCGCGTGTACTATCACGCGTTTCTGGCGAGGGGCGGGTGTGTATGTCCCCCTCCTCGACAGTCATCCGTGGTACATGCAATACACTCTGGGTAATTTGGTATCCAAAACATCTAATAACTGGTGGTATTTTGTCTCTGATTTTCTATATTATTTTATTTCAATATTTTGATGATGGTGCAGTGAATGGGACCAAAGGGGAGTTACCGTTGCAACACTGATTTAAACCGTGAGCCGCAAGAAAGCGGTAAACGAGTTACCGATTAAAGAGTGTGTGTCCAGAACTTACATAAGCGGTTTATCATAGAGTGCAGTAATGAATGTCTTACACAAAAATCTGAAATTGACGTTTCCATTGTAAACGCGTCAGCTGTTTACGTGGATCTATTGCATCTGTTAATCTGACTGTAAGTCACGCCCATTTTTGTAATGTTTAGATTCATGTTCACTCTTTACTCAGAAAACGAGTGTAAGTGCGCATTTTAATCAGAGGCGCAACCTGAATTTTGCATGTATTTAGGGAGCTAAAAGTGTAGTGTCAAGCCGACTTGATGTTTTTTTGGAAATCATTTTCCATCAAGAAAAATACATGTTTTTCAGTATCAACTGAATAAAAAATGTATTTTTGTTGACTGGTAGTTAACATTTATAATGTAAGCATTTGATAAAATGAATGTTTTAGTATAGAAAATTAGGAAATCATACATTTTTATTATGCATAATTAGCTTCTAGAAGCGAGGAGCTGAAACTCCATGAACACACTCCATGTGGGTACACCTCTGTTTTTTCTATATTACTGTAATTTTTAACCAATATCAGAGTTGGGCAATAACAGTTAATCCACGGCACGAATGAGGGAGAACGTCTTGTTCTATTAAGTACGAGTAAGTTCTATGTTGCATTTCCTCGAACTTCCTGGCAGTGAATGAAGCGTCAAGCACAGTTTGTTTCGGTTCCATGAAATTGTTCCGTTCGCTTTTCATGTAGAAACGTCAGCGATACTGAGAGAATCAGCACTGCTACAACGGCATCAACACGGTAGTTTGCTCCGCTGTGGGTTACAATATATGAAAGTGGCCATTTCCGAGTAGAACTGCAATTCGTTTCTCACTTTTGAAGCTCGTGAGCTTGGGTTACGGTTGAAATTTGCATCAAGTGTTCAGTTGTGGTTCTTTCGCTGAACATGTAGCTCAGAAACGTCTTGTAATATGTTAATGAAAAAATTGGCTCCAACGGCAAAGCTCTTAACAGTTCCTCCATACCCATCGCAACGCCTTTCCTAATTGACGATAGAAGAAATGCCATTCCGCACTGACAAAAACTTTTTCTGCATGAGAAAAATGTTTTTTTTTAAATATTTCTTAATTTTCTATTATACACTTGAATCATCGGAGAAATATATAATATGTCGACATGAATAACAAATTCGCAAATCTAATGACACCTCTAAATCATGTTTCACTAGTAAATCGCAGCTAACAATTAGATGGATTGAATCATATGTCATATCTTGTACGGTAGCTGCCACTCTTGTTGCAGTGTTCACACGATTCAAAATACAAATTCCATCTCTCCTAACTTTACAAGATGCATATTCCGACTGATATTGAAAAAATATACTCATGTCCGTTGACAAGTAGTTTGTTGTATTTTACGAACAAGGTCACGAGGGCCACCCATCCCTAGGGCGCAAAAGGTCCCAGCAGTAAAATTCCTTTCGCTGACAGAGGAAAAGCAGGAGTTGTATTCGTTTTGCTGTCACCCATCCCTTCTGGGGGAAGAGTGAACATGTGAAACACTATTTTTTCTTGAAACCTTGATCAGGCATGCAATAATTATTTTTATCGTTCTTCAGTACTTGGATCAAAGACTGGTCGAACACAAGTCGTTGGTACATGGGGAGGGAGAGCGCGCCTTCATACTTACGATTAAATTTTTTAGGGCTGTACGTGAGCAGTGCTCACTTTTTTTTGTATTTCACACAAAACTGAACAATAAATACGCCTGTTTTTTTTTCAAATTTTTATCTGTTACATTTCATATAAAAATTTTTACTTTTTAAAAATAATTATAATTTTTCATTGAATATATGTTGTTTTGAAAACTACATTTACAAATAAATAAAATACACATTTCAAAGTATCAACCGAAACAAACTAGGAATTTTTATATTTAGTACATTCGAAGCAACAATTGGTTTTCTTTTGCGAAGTACGTGTAAATTACAAAATTTAATACAGGCATACACAAATAATGAACTTTTAGGCAAATAAAAAAAAGACGTGACTCTTTTACTGTTGTCTAGATTTCAGAAAAATATCGTACATTTTTAGAAACGTGTCAACTAGTGCGACGCCGTGGAATGACTAAGTTCTTATAATGCGTGCTTTGGGGTCAGTAGTCCTCAACGTTTACTGTTGTTCAGTTCCACACTTCAGGTGTGGTATTAATCAAATGTTTGGGATGTCAGTCGGTAAATTGAAAACGTGAACTCTTGGTGAGAAAATTAGACTAATTGAAGAACTCGAAAAAAGCATCTCTGTCAAGGTTTTGATAAGTATTCCCATCTTTAAATTTCCTTAAGTGTAAGACTACTTATAAAGAAAATCAAGAATGAGCGGTCAAAAGATTTTTTTTATAGTGTTTGCCACAATATTCACCAGTACTTAGGCAAATAGCCGAAGCCTAAATCATAAGACGAATTCTTATGTTCCTACAAATATTGAAGAAAATATTTACTTTTTAAGAATTTTTTTGTCTCATAAGACCTCATGTTGCGTTTTAGGATGTAATTTTCTTTCTCTTCTGCGACGTCTTTGTTTCTTTAAAATGTTTCTTTCGGGGTGAAATATTCTACCTATACAACTTATGCCATCGTTGAACGATTGCGTTTTATGAATTGACCGTCTTTATTTCAAACCTGAAATATCTGGACACCTGTACAAGATGGAAGAAAATGTTTAAACCACTCGATTCTGGTATATACAAGTTTTATTGTACTTTATTGCAGCTATTCGACCCAGTAACATAACTAGTTTCGAAAATCCGCCACTGCCAAGACCATCCATGATCTTCTCGATCCGCAATGCTGCATATGAAACTGCATAGCTGATGAGCTACCATAGCCTTTCACTTCACGTTTAATTGTTTGGTCTTTGAATCTCGTGATAATCTACGACCGCGCACGGGGAAATCACCTCTTCAGCTGTTTCTTAAAAAATATTTTTTGTAAGGCAATTTTTTGTTAATTAATGCCTAAACAAGACATCTATAATGTTTTAATATTTTAAAATTTGTTGATGACGACGTAATATATTGAAAAATTATTTTAATTGAAATTATGAAAGCGATATGTAGCTGAGCAAGCGGACGTGTTTGTGAAACGTTGTACCGGCAAACGTTTTTTCACAGTAAAGAGAAGTTTCTTAATGAAGTATATCATACTACGCATTATC